GTTTTCACCAGCTCTATCCTGGGCCAGCTGTGCATGTCCTTGGGAAACATCACCTTCTACACCCTCAACAGTATCTCTCTGGGGTTTGTCAGCTTTGGTTTGCTGCTCTCACTCTGCCTGCCCTGGCCTAAACGCTCCTTGTTTTTCAACCGGACGAATCAGGAGGAAAAGGAACTGGTAGAAGTAGCCACCAAATCTGAACTGGACAAAATGGACCCAAAAGATGGAGGGCCATCCTTTGCTGCCCCTCCATGTCCTGCGTCAACCTGGAAGGATTCTGTGTTTATGCAGATGCTTCTGGAGGTTAGAAATGTGCTGAAGAGGCCAAACCTGAGGCTCTGGTCCCTGTGGTGGGTGTTCAACTCCACAGGGTATTACCTGGTGCTCTTCTACGTCCACATCCTGTGGAACAAAGTCTACCCTGCCACTGAGAACAAGAACGTTTACAATGGGGGAGTGGAAGCAGCTTCTACATTGCTCAGTGAGACATTTCCAGACATTTTTAAAAAATAGTTTTACACAAATAGTTTTATTGAAATGTAATCTGTTTTGTATCCAGCTCGGTGTTGCTGCGTGTCCACATGCAGCAACTTGCTACATTTAGATACAAAAAATGTAACAACTTGTGCAAAGTATAAACTAAATCTCAGCCATTGTCTAATTTAAAGGCTGGCAGGATGTATTTAGCTTTGCAGTGATAGCATCAAACAACGACTTAATGTAGGACACAATCTGCAGGACTTTTATTTTTTAGGGAGAAAAATCTATGATAATGACTCTGATAGACCCACATCTTCATGAAAGACTCGGATCGAAGCAAAAGTGTGATAGAAGATAATTGGGTGTTTTTTTTCTAGGAACCAATTTGAGAGGGTCAGGAAGAGCTGAAGAAAGATGATATGTGTTGTTATTTAAGACTAAAGTAAGGACTTGTCCACACATATACAAAAGTAGCTTTTGGAGTTTTAGGCTTTTATTCAATGCAAATTCACTTTTAGATAGCTGAAAAAGGATGGTTTGGGTCCAGACTAGATATTAAAGATTGATATAGCCAATGTAATGACACCCAGGCTGGTGTTTTTTTGTAATCAGAGGGTCTAGCTGGGGAGTAGCTCACTAGCTTTGTTAGAAAGACGGTCACATCCTCAAACTTAATTACACTTGTGTATTGAGTTTGTTATGTGCTCTGTGTGTGGCCAGTGTTGTTACCAGCATACTGATGTGTGGGGTTCTTGGGTTGCTGTAGTTGGTGAAGTTTCTGTCTTTGAGTCGATCCCTTCTGTTCCAGTTTATTAGAAAAAATGGAAGCAGTAGTAGCATCAGGGAATACGCAAAAGGAAACAATGGTGCTGAATGGGCCAATCAATGTGACTGTGCCGTTACTAGGGCTGGGTATCGTCACTGATTTCTAGAATCAATTCGATTCCAATTCACAAGGTCCCGAATCGATTTGATCCACGATTTGATTTGAATCGTGGAAATTTTGCCTCAGTCAGAAATATTATAATTTTGATCACGTATCAGTACATTTCCATATTTCTGTATCTATAAAAAGAAAGCTGACACTTGCGAGACTTTATCAAAGGTGTGAGCATCACAGCAGAGGCCTTTGTGTCAAAGTAATTGAGGATAAAACATGAAGAGGATTTTCCTGGCCTGGGATTTTATGAAAATATTCTGCAGTAGATCAAAAATGAAAGAAAACCGTTAATCAACATGTGAACCTTACCTAATGCTGCTGAAGTGAAGCAGCATCATGTGCCCCAGCCCTAGTCATTACTAGGGCTGGGGCACATTATACCGTTCATGGTAATACCGGTATAATGTCAGGCAATGATAAGAAAATGAAATATCGCAATAGAATATGGGTAAAACGTGCATGCGCAATGCCTTTGTTTTCATA